GGGAGAGAGAGGGGGAGAGAGAGGGGGAGAGAGAGGGGGAGAGAGAGTGAGAGAGTGCGCATGAATCCATTTGATTTCTTTACTCCCACTTTTTGTAGCTCGCTCTCTCTCTCTCTCTCTCTCACTCTCTCTTCCACTCTCCCATTCGAAGAGCTCCCGTGTCGCTAAATTGAATGGTCTTGGACTTGCGCCATGCATTCGGAAATAAGGGGGCTAGGTAGAGCCGCCCAAATTAAAGATGGTGCAATGTCGGCATGATGTTAAAAGAATCTGGCATTTTGCCAGCCACAGTCCACAAAGAGTAGAACTCAACGTTTCAAGGATCTCACTCAAGCCATGCAAGTTCGTCCGTCATTTAGTCCAGTCAGACAGTACTCCCTGCGTGTGCTAACCCGGAAGAAACCCTCTACATGTGTGGACCAAATGACAAAATCCACCAAGTTCCAGTTGAAGGTCTACCGAAGCTTGGTGGAGCTCCTGCCACCGAAAAAGAAGTGACCAACCTCGCTGTGATGAGGTTTGTGTGTTCCAGAGCCGGGAAGTCACTGTCTACCAGAGCGCCTTGGATTCCAAAGTGGTCCGGACGCCCAGCGATGCCGCAGGGTGCCCCCCGCGGCGGTGGCGGGGGTTCATCCACCCCGTTGTGGCCGTTAAAAGCGGGTTCCGGCGCTCCGGACGGCGCTTTGAAGGTTAAAACGCTCACGGCTTTGGTTGCACCGGGCCATTGCTGCTCCTGGATCCATGAAATTACAGAAAGCTCCCCAAGCTCCCCGGTTCAGTTTTCGGCGCACAGCTGCTACATAGCTCCTTTCAGATGGCCTAGATTAGGAAGTGTCAATTGGAGGGTTGAGGTTTCTTACGACTCTATGGCCAATCCTGTTATCCTATCCCACCTGTACCCCATAGGGTCCACTATGCTTCAACCTATTTCACCCGTCTTGGCACTCCTCATGTTTGCTTCCAATGCCAAGGCCCCAGGGCCTTTGAAGCTCGCCCAACGAGGCGAGAATGTGGTGAAGAAATGCCACAAGTGGCGAATGAAATCCATAATTATACAAGAGATTTGCTTTCATTCTCACAAATTGAATCACTCATCAAGAGAACATGTCCATATGTCCTTCCTTGTTGTTGGAAGACATTAATTATTCTAGACAATCTAAGGACGATCTACACGAGATTTGCTTGAAGCCGGGGGGGTTCTGCTGAAGAAACATGGCCGGGAAACGACGAGTGTCCTCGACGATGCCACTCATGGCCACCTGTTTTGGGCCAAACCGATCCATTTGGCAGGGTGGCCATCTGGTGCCGGATGAAATAGTTCTTTCTTCAGGTGGATTCACAGTCATGGAAGGATTCTTCTAAGATCTCAGCCATTCACCGATTCACCAAAAAGGTGGTTCTGTGAATGTATGGAGGGAAGCACACACGCCGCTGTGGACCTGGCCATTGTTGGAGCGTTGTTTGCAGGCCAAATTGCCTCGCGGGGGCCTCCAACAGGGCCTGGAGGCTTTGATTGGGCCTGGACACCCAGCAGGGAGCGTGTTGGTTTGGGTTCTTGCGCGAGAGGCTGTTGGTTTGATTTCTTTGATCCACACGAATTGGTTTGAACCAAAGTTAACCAAAGCGAGCTGAAGCACATCTTTTGTGAGGCACCCGGTCTTCAGACCCGTCGACGAATGCCACACGTGTGACCAAAAAGAGCAGCTCCGTGTCGAGGGTCACCTCTGTGGGGAAGAGGATGGGTTAGACGGTTCGACCAGGCTAAGTGAGTCCTTTGAAAGGTGAGCTCCTCAGAATCGGAGCTCACTCATCCATTTCGGAGCTCATGTCATCTCTTTCTGGAACTGACAGGTGCGGAAGCAGCCGGGAAGCCCGGGCCGGGCCAGCGGACAAGCCGAAGGTTGAGCTCCGGAGCTTCAATAGCTGAACGCCATCAACCTATTGAGAGTGGTCACCTTCAAAACAGGGCTTGTAGGCATCTGGCTGTGTTGGGAAGATATGGGAAGATGTTAGACACCTCTTCATCAGCATCTGGTAAGACGGACCTTGGCAGTGAGGCAAAGCTGGAGAGTTGGTGTGGAAACCCTGGCTTCCAAGCCTCAAATGCATCGCACAAAGCAGGAACAACGCCTTGCAAGGGCTCAGCCGGATGAAACTTGGAGCAAGCTGCTATAAGCTCCTTGCATGGTCCGAGGGGGGATGAACTTGCCAACATGTATAAACCTCTCCCATTCACAACATGTTTGAGCAGTTGGTACAGTAGCGTTTGAATGTTGCTTGCATCATTCATCAGCTTGGCCACAGACCCTGCCTCTTCATCATCCTTTCCACCGCCTTGATCTCCTCGTGGTCAGAAATCTGGCGCCCCGCTTGAGGCGATGTGGATAGGTCGAAAAGATTGGGACACTCCCCAAGCCCAGTGTGGAAATCTGCGGACATTTGCAGATCCTGGGCATTCTTCTTCGCATGCTGGGACTCTAGAGTCTCCAACTCCGCAAACGAGAACTACCTTCCACTCAACAGCTCGGAGTTGGACCACTCCGAGCCTTTTTGGAGCCCGAACTACCCTCCACTACCCAGCCAACCAGTCCCCCCGTGTGCGTTGACCTGCCCCAACCCCCCCCCCCCCGCCCTCGAACCGCCGCATGGATGGCCGCCGATCCCGATGCCCGCCGCCGATCCGCCCGACGGACACTGAGGAACGGCACACAGGATCGCCTGGAGCGCCTGGCGGCCTTCATGAACACCGCACAGGCGAGAGGTCTCGTGCGCTGCGCTGCGGTCGACCGTGGAGCGAGACAACGGAGAGAGGTCAGACGGGGAAAAGGAGCTAAGGTCCCGGGAGTTGTTCTGGGACCTTGGTTCCTCAATGTTCGTAAGTGAACTTGATCAATCTTGTCTCGAACTCAAGGTGTCAAGAAGAACTGCCGGCAATCGGCATCACCGATGTCCTACCAATCTCGGTTTGATATTCAGGGATGGAACCTCCGTTTACCAAACTTTTCTGTTTAAGGGTAGCATCTCCTCAGTTGGTCTTTTCCACAGCCATCAACCCGAGGCCTTGGCGTCCGGCGGCTATGTCCTGGGCAGCGAGCCGTCACAGGCCCTGACGCTGGCGCCGATGCCCGGGGGCTTAGCGACTCGCGGTGGCACGGGAGCGGCTATGTCCTGGGTGGCATGGGGACCGGCGTGCGACCTGAGGCTGGACGGGACACGAATACACCGGGCAGCCGAAGCACCAGAAGATGCACCAGGACTGGTTGTGGGCAGTGTTGTGGGCCTGGTGGGCCTGTGTGCAGTCGACCTGTGTACCACTGGACTTCTCGCCTCATGAACAAGTGTTCAACTGGACCAGACACTGGACGCAAAGATGTTTTGAATGCCAGGTACACTTTTTCCGGCCATGACTCGGATTTATCGGCAGGAAGAATATCAATTTCAACCCTTGGCCCCGACATTTTACTCGGCTAAGACCTGGGCAGTAATGATCGTCTAAGTCTTTGTAGTACAACCACAAGTGTACCAGTAACTTCCCACCACTGACTGAGCCAAGTGACGACCTGCCACTTTTCGAAAATCAATTTTTCACGTGATGGTTTTGCAGGAGCTGCAGAGGTGCACCGGGGGCCTTGTTGGTGTGATGTCTTAGAAATTGAATTCCTTTCGATGATTTGAATCGGCCATTTGAATCGGCATCTGGTCAGAATCTGGTCCATTTTGAGTTATTTGGGTTCGAAAGAAAGATGCTAAGGCCCTTTCATCCTTTCATCCGACGGGCATTGGCTGGCAAATAGAGGATTGTGGAATCAACTTGGAGAATCTGAGAGTTGAGTTGAGCCCATTGGAAAACAATGGAAAGCAGAGTGTCTAGCCCTTGACCCTCCGCAGTCCTCTTCCAGTTATGCGCCGATGTTCGAACATTTCTCCACCGACTCGGGCATGCCAGGCCAGTAGTGCGGTGCCCAAAGTGGTCTATGATCAGGCACCCCCTTGCGCGAGAGAGATCGAGAGAGAGAGAGAGAGAGTATGGGACGTCCTGTCATGGTTCTGGAGTTGGGAGATCTGGATGCCTTCGACATCTGGTGTCAGCACTGAGCGAGCCACCTGCAGTGGAGCATAGCAATATTTTCTTGCCTTCAGTTGATCGTTTTCGTGGGCGCATACACATGGCCGCGATGGCCGCTAGTTTTGGTCCGTTTCTTGGTCAAAGACTTTGGCTGGACGACTGATGCAGGATGGCCTCACTGTCCTCGATGCTGCTGTCAAGGCCGGATTTTGGCATCACAGAACACCCAGTCAGTGTGGATCAGAGCCTTTGTTAGGGTACTGTAAAACTATGTAAATCTCCTTCCAAAAAACGAACTCACTTATACAAAGTCTGATATACAACCGTTTTTGGACCCCTAATACCATTCAACCACTTGTCTGCTGAGGCGTTGCCCATCTTGAACCCCAGGTGCTACCGTACCTCTACTCAGACTCTACTCTATCCTATAGGACCGACCGTGACCCGTGGTCTCCGTCGCGAGGTCTCCAAAGAGGGCCGCAAGGCCGTGGCCGTGAACGCCGCCTCGGCCTACTCCGTCGGGGGTGGCGTGCCTCGGCGCTGTGAGTCGGGCACCGACGCGGACGAAGACGACGTGACATCGGATTTGGGTGGAAGGTCATGTTTTGCGGGGGATTTGGTTGGAGGTTTCTGCAGGTCGTTTCATGGTTTCTGAAGGCTGGATTTGGGTTTCCTAAACAGCCTGGAACAGGGTTCACGGTCTTGTTCCCCGGATCCCAGGTCATGAGCGGCGGCCGACATGCGCTGGAGGACACCGGAATCGCCGTTGGTCAGCGGTTTTTGGGCCAAAAAGGCCCCCAGAGCCGATGCAAAACACCAAGCCACTGGCACCTCATGAGTAAGCCATGGTTGGTTCGGTGCTTTCTACTGCCAGGAATCCTGCTGCATCACGAGCACGCTTTTGGCCTCCTTGCAGAAAGCACAATGGGCACGCGCCCCAGGGTGAGGGCTTCTGCTTTTTCCACGCCACATATATAACTGCTGTTTGTGGTTGGTTGCTCTCAGAGGACTCCTGAACCATCCTGAAGCCATTTGGGGGACTTGTTCAAAAGACTTTGTCCGAGCAGCGATACTCGCAAGTCCTATTCTCCTTCGTCCGTTGGAGACTCCTTCATCTCTGTCTGTTCTGAGGATCAACTGCAGACTCCAGAGGAGCCACGCGTTTCTTCTCAACTGGGTCGCTTCTTTGCTGCGTTTCTTCTTTTTCTCTTGCCAAGAGGGTAGAGGGGTAGGTAGGATTAGGTAGGTAGTTTGTTACATATAAGTATACTTATAGTTGAGATTCTTGACATCTGGAAGTGGTTGGACACTTGAGGGACTGGATTTGCTAAGCAGCTTTCTTCAGGATCCAGTCCAGCAATAAACGCGGTTTGCCGACTCGACCCGTCGCACTGGGACACGGTGGGCGACCGAATCCCCTAACCGGTGAGAACCCCGACCTGGCAACACCTCCTGAGACAGAGACCGCAAGGGCTCAAGGGGAAGATTCGTAGAGGCGCCCCAAATTCCGCCCTTGGGGGGTTGTGACGGTGGACCAATAAGTTGAAGTGAATAGACATTCATTGAGGAACAACAGATCTTTGAAACACACCCACTTGGGAATAGTTGGGACACTTTTTGTTTTTTTGCAGGAAAAGAAGCCTGATGAGAGAGGCGGCGCGTGGTGGAACCCGTGGAACGCGTGGAACCGGTGGAACTCACTTCGATCGTGGGGACCTGTGGACCCAAAAACACAGGCTGTAGGTCCAGAAAAAACTGGTTTGTGGGTCAGAAGAAAAGCCATCCCCACTTCGATCTATCAGAAGACCACAAAACAAAGGTAGAAAGACCTGTAATTAAGCCTCAAGTCAAGAAGACTTTCTACAATAATGACTGCAATACTTAAGGATGCATCGCTGTTTTGAGCCCTCAAGGGAGAGGACCAGGACCTTCGGAATGAGGAACCCATTGCCATGCGACCTGCGCAACCCGCCAGGTCACTGGCATGAGGCCGAGGCCCACCCGTCGAAACAGCCGACGGCGAGCGGGTGTCGACCACGAGAGCGTTCTCGCGAGAAGGGCGACCTCGGAGGTTTGAGTCGAGAAGTTCTCTCGAGCATGTTAGCCCAGCCACACCTGAAAGCCAATATGATGTGTCTTTTCCCATTTCAAAAAGAACACATCCTTTGTCGTCGTTGGCATTTTCGACCCTGAGGCATTTCACGCGCATGTGCCTGTGGACGGCTGTATCTTGAGCCCCTTCGTGGAGGTGTCGGGTGGGACTGGTGCCGGAGACCGGAAAGAGGTCACGGCACTGACTGATGGTGTAAAACACGGTGGCACGGAAGCAGGACTAGCTCTTCAGTCTGTGACATCTAACTGGAGTAATCAGTTCCACTGTCCAAAAGTCTTCAGCGGACTAGGCTTCCTGGCAAAGGGAACTAGGCTTCTACAAACAAATCACTCAGTCTGGCAGAAGAAGTACCACTGCGGATCTATGCCAATCTTCATGGCATGCGTTGTACCATCCCCGCAAAACCCTGTGGCCTTTGATTCCAAAGTGAACCAGCATCTTTTGGCTTTGGAGGTTTCCCAAGTCCAGAAGCCAACGTGGATAAGGGTTCAAGCTGTTTCAAGCTGAACTAGCTTTAGACAAACTAGAGGGATGTGCTTTCTCATCCGTTCATCCTTGGGCCTTGTGGGTCAACCCAACTGCACCGATCGTCCCTGGCAGGTCTTCCGAGAAGGTAGCAATGACGGCTACGGCTTCTTAGCGCACCCCGGCAGATCGGGAGCAGGTCTGGGACGTGGCAGGTCTGGGACGCCTTGTTGAGCAGGGACCCGGTCGCGCGCGGAGAAGCACCGTGCACCGGTCTGTGTTTCGCGGAGACGCATCACCCCAAAGCACCGAACGGTCGCGCATGCCGCGTCGACGGTGTGGTGGACACTGGTGCCTCCATACAAAAAAACACCAGGTGCATCTGTGACAAAATGAACGCACAAAAGAGTTTCATCCTCAAGCGATGGAATCGCATGTACAATGGCGATCTGGCAGAGAACCCTGCCTGCCGATTTCACAGATGTAGCACTAAAAAACCCTGGGCGTGGTTGTGCTCTGTCATCCTTAAGTAAATATTGAAAAGCTTGCCGGAGTTTGCAAGTCACAGCATGGATGGACATGATGTACTATATATAATATACAGTAATGGTTTTAAGATCCTAGGCTTGGCAACTAGCGCACAACCGGTTTTGTTGATTTCAAGTTGTATCCATGGTGCACTTTGTTTATATATATATATATATTATGTGATGGATTTGCGACCTTGACCCCCCAAGCTATCGTTCATTCAACCATGTGACACGCATACATTCTACCACAGTGGTTTTACCACTGGGGTTCTCACCAATCCCACCATTCCCCTGTGCCGAGCCGTCCGTTACGGATGCCCAGGTCGCCTGTGAAGCTGCAAGGGGTGTGTAGCTGCTTGGATTGCAATGTAGTCTAGAGTCTAGAGCGATCATGAGATGTAGAAGGTTGGCCGAAAGCTGGTTCAACCGATATGATGGTGGCTGGGGTCCGAAAAAGGTGAGAGGGCCCCCAAATAGCTATTTTGTTGCACGTACTCTTTGTTTCCCAGCGTTTTGGGCACTCACTCACTTGCCTCCTTTAATTTCGGCCGAAGAAGGACCCTTTATGGACATTCCTCTGCAACAACACTTTTATACGTAGTTAATGTGTTTCACCAAGGTGGAATCGCGAAGTCCCTGACATTCTTGAGTGACTTGGGGAACTATCGAAGTATCATTTAATGAACATTTGGACGGTGGTGGCTTTTTCCCTCACCCGGACGTGCAATAGGGACATCTTCAGCACCAGTGGAGTCCAATTTGGCATATTAAAAAACAAGAGGCCTTGATTGTTGACAAATCCCTGTTTGAAGTGTTTTGATCCTTTTGGGTCAGGGTTGAACCCTTCCGCCACACGCCGAGGTGTCGCCATGTTCAACATGAACCCACGGGTCAGCGATAGTCCGCTGGATGCTCCCAGAGATTTCAAGACGTACTGCCACCAGGCAGCTGAACTGGGGCGCCGCTGGACTGGCGGAGAGATGGAAAGAGGTGTTACTTTCCCGCTTAAGGTCTGCAGGGCTTGTCTTGTGGATGATGCGGACCATTTTCTTTGGGCGTTTCTCTGAGTTGATGGGTTTGTCGTATGTTTTTTTCACCTGAATGTAGGGTGACCCCTGCAAACCACAAAGGGCAACTGACTTGGCCCAGACGAACCAGCATGGGTCATCCAATTCCAGGAGGCTCGGCATCCCCATTCATTCTCCAGGTTCCCTTCCGAGAATCCCCTACGTTTTGCTTATTGACATCTATTGACATCTCGGTGGTGTCTTCGACCCGTCACGGCTGCACCGGGTCGTGCCGATGGGAGCCGGGTCCACGCAGCAGGTGAAGCTGAAGTTCCGTTCCGTGGCCACTGCCGCACTGGAGATGGGCGCAGAGGCGCTAGTCTTCTTTTTGGGCGCGCGAACCTGGGGGTGGGTTTTGCGGAAGTCTGTGCGTTCCCCAAGGACATGGTTGAGTTGGATCGCTGAAAGGACATGGTGCTGGGTGATGTCCCGAAGAGAAGCACCCTCGCTGCGGGTGTGGAGTTGGATCGCTGAAAGGGTGATTTTTTGAGAAGAACATCGGAGCGGGGAACACGGTCTTCCCGAGCGGGGTAGATGAAGCATCGTCTTCCGGCCCTTGGTGGTCCAGGATGGTTCAGGATGGATGACCAAGATGTTCCAAGTAAAATGGGAGTAGATGTCCATCCCGGGGAATGACAAGTGATGGTCCATGATGGGAGTTGGGAATCCAGAGGTTCCAAGTCAACTGCGGCACCCACGGGCATGCACCGACCCAACATGTGGGCCTGCCAGGTGCTGGTGTGCCCCGATGTGGGCTGCGGTGTCTTCGGGAATGACCCACAGGCGGTGTGGGCGTGGGTGAAGGGTAGCCAAAGAAATCATTTGCCAGGCAGATTTGACTGGTTTGTAGGAGGAGTTTGTATGTATTTATTGAATTTAGTACTGTCGATTGGAACGAAGTGCCAAGACTCACTTCCACTCTGACTGTTACTTGCTTGTACCAGTCGGGGCCGCAGAGACACCTACTTGACACTGATATGGTCGACGGTCAACCCCAATAAAGCCTCGGAACCTCAGTGGATTCCTTTTTTTTGGATGGCAATGAACATCCTTGCCAGAGGGCATCTTATTACTATTTGAGATGCACTCCAAATCCGCAAAAATAAATCATGAGTCAAAGAGCCCTCAAGACTTGGCGCAGATCCGTGGATCACGATCACGTAAAGATCGTCTCTGAAGATCTCTGATTTCTCAAGACTTTGCCAGAAGGGCTGCCGCTCTCTTCTGGCCGCAGGTTTTGGGAACGATGCTGGGCCAAGTCCTCCGTGAACCCAAGCTGGCCAAGCTCGAGGCGTGTGACATGTGAAGAATGGTGCGAATGGATTGCTTTTGGTGGACTCTCCAGTCAATCCTATGTTCTGACATGGCTATCCTTGAGATTCTGGTAGTTTAACAGTCTCACAGAAAGATGATCGAACGAACATGATCTTCGCAAAGAAAGATGATCTTCACAATGCTATCATCTTAACAAACAATCCTATGTTCAGAAAGAAGATCTTCATACCTGCCGCAGGCCACATCCACTAATCAAGATAGAAGTCGTCACAGGCCATGTCCAAATCTTCGCGGGTCGCGACTTGGGGCGAATCAGGTGCTCCTCACAGGTCAGGTGGCCTTTGCAGAAGCGGTGAAGCTGGCCGCCACCGGTGCCCAGGCCTGGTTCGCGCAAGCGCGTGTCCGGGTGTCGAAGGGGAAGACGTCCAAGCTTTGGGGGGTGAAGACGTGGTTGGCGGTCGCTTTGGTTTGCTTTCCATCGGGCGTTTTTGGGGGCGCTGGATTTGGGGATGGGTTGGTGGGTCATGGGGTGAACGGTCCCAAGGGCGAGCCGGTTCCGTCACTGCCCCGGAACTGAAGGTTCCTTCGCCTGTCCGGCCTGGCCTCCACGCCTGTCCTCTCTGCCGGTCCTCTCCGCACAGAAAAGACTGACGGCTCTTTTTTCTAGGCGCCAAACCGACCGAAATGATGGCACAGAGTAAGCTGGGTGCAACAGGATTTTGGTGGGAATTGACGGTGTGCGTTTCCCTGCGGAGGTTGACCGGGTGCGGCAAATCATTGTGAGCAAGGGGTGATTGATGACACGTGTGCTTGACAAGGGGGACTTCATCCCGAGGGTTCAATGGTTTGTCCTTTCAACCAGAATGTGAGTTTGGCACCAGGAACATGTATATACAGTGTGTTTAATAGATTAGTATCTCGCAACCTCTATTGAATCTAGAATTGGTGACCTTGTCGACGACCGCGAATACAAATGCATACAAATGCCTCAAGTCGCTCTAGGAGTAAATGTCTTTTTCAGACCGGAACAACCCCGCTCTGCTCCATCAATCCTCAATATCCAAAAACCAAAGCCTTTGGGAGCCGATCACATGTGGGTCTCTCAAATCGATCGACACACATTGACACGTAAGAAACCCGGTTTATCCATCAAAAACCACCCATGGAAAATCATGAAAATCATGGACATATTATGATCTCTTGTGACACCTGGACCTGAGGTTCTGTCAAAACCACCCTGCCTCTGTGCTTCATTCCCAGGAGCTCTCTTCCACGAGGCTTTGATGAGATATTTAACGATCTCCGCCAGCGCCAGGTGGACCTGGCCCCAGCGCCGGCGGCATACTTTGCACAGGTCTATGGCAAACAGCCGAAGAGCCCAGAGAGGTTGAAGGTGGGAAGAAGACACTGGGCTACGGTCTACGGTATTCACCTTCGTCTGGCATTCGCCCTGACCCCGACATGACCCATTGTATAGTATGTTCTATATTGAATTTGTACCATGTCTTATCTCTTGAAAGGCTTGCTTGGCAGTTGCGACCCACGGTCAGATCGCTCAACTTCAAACCACCAGCGAAGAGCTTCGCTTCGAACTCGGCCTCCGGTCGCGACGCGCCAGTGCGGTCGGAGTCGTTCGGCCGAAGACGAGTCGTTCGGTCCGACCGGAGAGGTCTGGATGAGTCGTTGAAGGAGAAAGAGCTCGAATCCGTTCAGCTTTAGTGGTGACTTTCCAATAAATATCTAACCATTAGAGCTTAAGCGTTTCTGAGGAGGTGAAGAGGCTACAAGCTCATTCTGAGACAGCATGCAGTTTCTTCTTTGGGAAAACTAATTACATGACCAGATAACCGCACATGTCAAGCTATTGTGTTCATAACAAGTCGTGGGTGGGTGGGTGGGAAGCTGCCAGCCGACCACAGCCGACCACGTTGAGGTCTTTCGAGAAGCAAAGCGCGACGGGAAATGCATGGGGAGGAGCAAGTGAGTGAAAGTGACAAGTGCAAGTTGGTGTGAGTTGAGTTTGTGTGAGTGAAAGTGTTGCTGCAAGTCTAAGTGAGAGGAGGCGGAGGAGGCGGAATGTACGGTGAAAGAAAGAACCACACACACACAAAAGATGTGGGGAAAAGGATGGAAAAGGCTTACCCCGCCCCCAAAAAAATAGAAAAACAACAACACAATCAGACAGTTAGCCCCACCGCTTGGGGCTGCTGAAGTCGCATCCCCCATTCGGTTTGGCCACGTGACTGGCGCCGAGTCTTTGAGGTCTCCGGCCAAAGCTCGAGGTGGCTACCGAGCGCCCCACACTCAGAGCGATGCCCGCACCTCCGCACGTGGGCGCATGGGGTGGTACCTGGAGCTGAGGTACCCAGCCGGTTCACTTGGAACAATCATGAGTCAGGAGCATCAGAAAACGCCATCCTCAGAATCAAGATAGCAAAAAGGGCGGCTCGCCGAGACTCCGAAGCTTGAGGGTAGGACAGTTGGAACATGTTAAAGCCCTGGAGCATGAACGCCTGGAGGTTGCCCAAACAGTAGACCATGGAATATCATAAACAAATACTGTAAACCAACCACAAAACAATCTAAAGAGCAAAAACAAGCACATAAACACGTATATATAAGTAGGATCCAGATATCTCCAGATCTTTCTTCCTACGATTCGACTGAACACCACTCTCCATCACCGTTGAGATCTGGTGACCATCGCTCCGAGGCCTCAGGAGCCCATGATCGTGGCCACGGCCCGGTCCTTGGTGCCTGGGGAGCGACCCCAAAACGAGGGAAGGCTAGGCTCAGGTTGTCAAGGGCAAGCAGATGAAGCCATGCTAGGGCAAGCAGATGCAAGCAGCCAGTCTCATGACGTTTGCCTTAAAAAGCACACACACACACAATTTTTTACTTGAGTTGCCGGGACCCTATCACTACTCACTGCTGGCATTGGCAGCGCCGTCACACAGCGGATCTGAGGTGGTGAAACCAGTGGATGCCACCCGAGGCGACAGCGGGGTCAAGGGGGTGGATTTTCGGGGGGCGATGCTATTGCAGCAAATCCTTTTGAATAGACTTCTGAATATAGTTATATAATATTGATTGTCCTATATATATATATTATATATATATATATATCTGATGTGGTCTACCGAAAGGATCCTCAGACGAGTCATGGGTGCCATCAAAGATACAATTGTCCAAAAGTGAAGGCCTCGATCATGATATATCTGATGTGGTCTACCGAAAGGATCCTCAGACGAGTCATGGGTGCCATCAAAGATACAATTGTCCAAAAGTGAAGGCCTCGATCATGATGGTGGTTGACGATTTCAATGGCTATAGAAAGAGATTGCATTTCAACCCAACCAGTGTGTGGAGTGTCGGGTGGACTGTGGAACCCCGCTCCAAACGCATCCCGCTCGCCTTGCTTGTGGCCAGCCTGAATGAGATCCGGGTGAGCGGAATCGAGTGATCCGGGTGGACACGCCATTGAAATCCGATCTCTCCCAAAAATCCCCACCCCTTTTCCTTTGCAAACCCCTTTCTTGTGCTTGTGCTTTTCGCTACATGTGTGTGTGGTTTGTTCTCTTGCTCGGACGGGTGGCTGGACAGGCGCTTCGGGTGCGCCTGCCGGAGCCACCCACGCCGCTGTGGGGGGTGGTTCTGGAGTGACTGCAGGTGCACCTGCCCAGGCGACGGTGGGTGGAGAGTGGGAGCTCGATTTTGGTACCAAGACAGATGCCTCTCCAAGGTTTGTGGCAGAGCGTCTCCAACTTTGTGGGACACCTCCCGTTGAACTTGCAAAGCCTCAAGTCTTTGTGACAAGGTTCATGTTGCAAACGCATGCAAACACCTTTAACTACTGAAAGATTTAGGTCATCCTTCGATCTCCAGGTCGCGCCTGCTGGCCCCTCCGGACGTGCCTCACCGGGTGTGGCAGTGCCCACGGCTGCACCCGTGGCACCCACTCCCGGGGCCGCGTCGCCGGTGGCTGCGGCGGCGGCGGC